TTTTTTTTTTTTTTGGCACAGGAAGAAAGTAACCCTCTTTGTTCTCCCTGAAATGATTAGTAAGATGACTGATCTCTACCAGTGTAAGCATGAGTTCTACCTCTGAGAACTCATCTCTTACTCGTTGAACTCGCAACACACTCAACACAGTTGATTCAAACTACTTGTAGGGAAAGATACTGCAGAAGAAAGAAAATCCATTACACTGAGGAGGGTAAGAGAGGGAGAGAACATTCCAATAAATGATTGCCATAGCAGCAGCAAGGCACTGCAGCTCCCCTTTGCTCAGTTTCAAGTCGCATTCCTGGGAGTGTGTTGGGCTTCTCCAATCATTCCTCTTCATTTCTACCCCACCTCCTGACTCGACTTTCTTCTAGAAATGACTGGCTACATGCAGACACACCTGTATTTGGTTCATTGTTATCTTGAGCAATTTTGGTTTTGCCACTGATGTATTTAGAAGATAAGTTTAAAAAGTGCTATTTACTTAACTGATAATTGTAACCCTGGAGACAGGATTTGTTTGTTTCATTGTAAACCTAGCTGCACTGAAAAGCTACCCTTAGGCACTGACAGCTGAAAATTTCTGGAGCTGGGATTGCTGTTAAGTTCTGAGGCAGCTGCTCTTCAACATTTTTCAGTAATCATATGTATGCATATATGCAGAGCGTATAGAAATAGCACACCATTATTATTTTTCTCTCTTGGGCTTGAGTTATCGTGTTACAGTACTTTACAACTATACAGGTGGGTGTCTTAGCAAAAATACTATAGTAAGTTATTTCTCTTCTACCCTGTTAGTAGAATGTGTTTATATAGACACTGATCTCTTAATAAGGTTAGGAAGAAATTTTTACTATTTTTCAGACCTCGGCCATTGATAACTTAAACACATATTCCCTCTACCCTTCCTATGTGCATTTTTAAGGTTTTTTTTGTCTGTGAAACTCAACATATTTTCACAATATACACATTTGTTTCAGAATTTATCCAAGCTTTACTTGGTTAAAAAAAAACAAATAAACAAACAAAGAAAATCAACAGGAGACTACAAACATACCTGTATATTCTTATATATTTGCTCTGACTCTTCACCTACAGTGTAGTATTGTTTCCCATTATTTGCTAGTCTATATTTTGCTCGGCATGGGAAGATAATTAATTTCCTCATATTTATCAATATTAAATTTTGGGAACAGCAAAAACCCTTCAGGTTTTGAATAGGTTCAAATACTCGTGAATTCCGTATTCTGAATTTGTGAATTCTGTAAATTCATTTTTTTTATTCTAGTTTCATTCTGTCTCAAGAATATTTATTTTCTGTGGAGAGCAGGTCTGTACTTACTGAAGTTACCAGCAGAGCTCCCACTTCAGTCCTAGTAAAACATTCATGCCGTTTGTGTGGGAATCTGTGCATGTGTCTTCAAAATCATTACACACTGCAATCTCTTTTGTGACCTTGCTTCTGAAGATTTACAGAACCCCAGAAACATACTTTGTGCTACTGAAGATGGAGAGAGATGATGAAATAGAACGGATCACCCAACACCTCTCAATAACTCATGCTCTGACCATTGCTACTGGAATGATAAGGCATTCACAGCAATGTGAAATGGTAAATTAAGAGATGAATTATAGGCATAGTGTTTTCTTACAAGCTATGATTCCTGGAGATAAAAAAAAAAAAAAAAAAAAAGGACACCTTTGAGTAGTTGATTTATGGTGGGTGCTACTTCAGTATTTTCAAAAGAAAGTACCTTGTGCCTAGGAGACAGAATTAATGACTGGTACGAACTTAGGAAATTAAGTGCCCCAATACAAACTCATTAGTAGTAAAAACTGGAAGGGGAAAAAATTGAAGGGATGCAAAAATATTAAAGTAGAAGAAGGAGGAGATACACCAAAGCAGAGTTCTTGCACTTTTTTAACGTTATGCCTACCCATGTAAGGTAGTATTTGGGAAGTTAAAGAGAGTTGCTGTTTTCTTTGCCCTTCTCTTACCCTTAGGGCTTTAGTTACCCTTTACATAAATAAAACAAGTTTACTTTCTTGAGAAGATCTAACATGAGTTGCATGGAGTAATTCCATTTCATGATGAGCATAAGCTGAGTACTCCACTAATAAAAATGGCAAATAAACACTCTTAGCCTTAGAATTTGTAGTCTTAACCAATATCTTGAACATCGATTCTAGGTCATATCCAGGTTTGTTTCTGTTTGTCTTACTACTTCTGGTACATTATGTATAACATTGTAACACAATGAAAACCATAGTAGCAAAGACCCACAACAGATGAGGATATCCTCCAACGCAGCAGCCACAGACACCACACAAAAACAAAACAAAGACTTCACTCACCTTCAAAAGGCCTCAAGCAGGCATCAATCCCCAACAAAATCTCTTTGTCTTCACTGCCAATGCTTAAATGAGGTCTGTAAGAGGTGGATCCCGGCTCCAGCCCTTCTGGTCACTCAGCTGCATTGAGTGCACCTGAGCTCCTCTGGGTTGGCCCTGCCTTCCTACCAGGTGCTCCATCACTGCTTCAGGCTATGACTTAGCATTTCCACTACAGCAGGAAAGGTATGACATTCTTAATCCTGACATTTTTCTTCATTAAAAACATTCCTATTGTTAAGGGTCACCTCACAAGTCCCACTTTTCAGGCAGGCTTAGTACTATTTGGCAGAAGGTTAAATATTCACTTGTACAGAAAGACAAAATTGTTACATGTCTTGAAGGAGCGTCTGGACAGTCTCAGCATTCTTTGGAGATTCTACTGTATTTTCCAGTAGCGAGTGACTGGGCTGTCAGTCACAGAGAACATACAGAATAAGAAACCAGTGCATACATACATTTCTATAACCAATCATTTTGAGAGGATCAATAAAAGATTATCTTTTTTTCTGTTTTTATACTTTTCAACTTTAATAATTCTACATTTTTCTTTTAAAACTTTTCTTTCTGAAAGGCTATTATTTGCACTTCATTCTCACGATAAGCATTCAGTTGCAAAAACAATGGCATGGAGAACATGACTCTGTTGAGCACCCAGCATAACTGTAATTGAGTGCCTAATTATTCTAAACACCTGCAACTCATGCATGTCATTTCAACATGTGTTCATGATTAGGTGCTTTCAAGCAGCTTGTGATGTCAAAACACTTGTTTAGAAATGAAAACGTAGGAAAAAATTCCTTATGCTATAGAAAAAAAATGTTTATGCATATAATTATATCTATGTGAATATAAAAAAAGACATTTGCAGAGGTCTCCTACACCTTTTCTTTTTAGATAGCTATGAAATAATTTTTAGCCTCATCATTTTATTAATTTTTGGAAAACAAAAGAAATCATGGGGGGAAGCGGCTGATCTCACCCTGTGGATCCTGTGAGCTTTTGCTGCTCTTCCCCAGAGTTTCATCGCCATAATGTATTTCAAAACTAATAAAAAAATCAAGTCAGTCTTTCTGGAACACGATTTAAAATGTTAATAGCACACTGTGAAACATCATTGGTTTTTTATTTAGAAATCTGACATATACTGAAAAAAAAAAAAAAAATCCTGAGCCTTAATTTCAGGGCAGAGGGTTTGTAAAACACTGAGCAGCAAAATAAATGATATGGCAATTATGTCTATAAGCCTGACAATCTTTTTGATGGTACTGAATTTTTCCATTCTATATTCCATCTATGAATAGGAATCCATGGAAATTTTTGTCTGCCCCAGTTACTGTCTGTATTTTTGTCTAGTACCATTTATGCCTCCATCTTGATTGATGCTACATGCCCTTCATCCATTATCTAACATCCTCTGGTTAGGCAGACATCTAAGAATGTTTTGGCTGTGTTTTATTTAGGACTTGTTTATTTGCAACTGCTAAATGACGAGGTGCGGTGAAATCTATCAGACATTGATGAAAGATAATGATGTTTGTTGTTCGCTAATACATTTGCCCAGCTCAAGTATGTGAAAATAGTACTTGAATGGCAACCTAGCTGAACCAATTCTGGTGACTAGATCAGGCTGAGAGGGGTTCTGAAAGATGTGGCCAATGAGGTTATGTATTCAGCAGTTGCATGCACATCTCAGAGCATTGGTAGTTTGTTTGAGCTCTACAGCAATGATGATAGGAGTGTTTCTGAAAAGAAATTGATAGGCACAATGACTAACAAAATTGTGGGATATATTTTATATCTTGTTTTCTTCAGATAACCACGGAAGCCAGAATCTGAAACTCACAGCATCATGCTGTCATTTTCAGTCTTGCAAAATTAACGTAAAATGATTTTATGATTCTGTGATTCCATAAACGGTGCACATATGGGTGACTATGGATTACTATAGGGTCTGCTCTGAAAGTAGTGCCTCCTCTTATATTATGTTGGCCCACAACATCAAAGATGGATATTGGTGGTATGACAGCAGAGGTTGAACTTTCCCACCAATATTCCATTCCATGTTGTTGCCATGTAACAGATGGCAGTAGAAGGCCAATCTGACAAAATGACATCTGACATGGAAAGGCATATGAAGCAAAGATGTGTCATTGAATTGCTCCATGCATAAAAAATGGCACACTGACATTCATTGGCACATGCTGAATGTTTCTGAAGACCAAACAGTGGATGTGAGCATGGTGAGGCAGCGGGTGGTGTGTTTCAGCAGCGGTGACAGTGGGCCGCCTACACTGGTGCAGATTTTCACGTGTGGCATGAAGGCTCTTGTTCATCCTTAGCAAAAATGCCTGGCTAATGGTGGTGACTATGTTAGAAAATAGTATTTTGTAGCTGAGAATTTGCTCTCTCAAATCATGTTATTGTACTCTTTGTATCTGTTCTGATTTCCGTGGAAATAAATAGGAGACATTACTTTCAGAGTGACCTATGTAATATGTGCCAAGGCCATGAAGCGACAACTTTGATGTGATCCTTAGGAAATAACTGAAGGTACCTTGATGACTAAATTCTGCTTTCATTAAAGTTAAATGCGGCCTTGATTCTATTTTCATTGGGAGTGTTATTTCCTCAGAGCAGTGCCACAAGGCAGAATTTAATAGTACCTTATTTTCTGTTTTCTTTCTGTTGAATTTAGTAAATTAACCCATTAGTTGTTGAAATTATGCCTAGGACAGGAATGAAAAAATGTTCAATTATAAATGGTCTCCCTTTAACCTTACAGAAAGCCATCTATGTATTTTACCTGAATGTTTTTTCCAGTTGTCACGGTCAGTTGTTTGGTTCGGGTGGCTGTCATCTGACAGAAAACAGAGCACAACCCTTAATTTTGGTTTGCATGGGGTGTGATCATACATCAGATATGCACAAAACTATAGTTCCTTTCTGAGTAAATAGTTAGGACTCCCTGTTGTTAATGACATGGCTAATCACCTGTCCAGACTAAATCCCACTGCGGTCATAGATCTGTATCTCAAAAACAATTTGGCTAGGGAAACACAGCAGTCTTCTAGCAGCTTGGCACCTGTACAACCTTCTGCATTTACATGTCTCGTGACATTATTAGTGTATATATGTAAACCATTACTACTTCCTCAGTAGTTTAGGGAATAAACTGATGCATTCAATTAGTCCTCACCCAAGAGTTTTTTTGCAGTGGAGGTTCATAGATGTTTACAGAACAGGTGGTCTTTGGACTTTGAAACAAATATTGACTCTAGTACATCAAGTCATGTTGCAGAAACCTATCTGCAAGAACACAGTTGTGGAATCCAATCTGGCTTCCTGACAAGGAACATTAGGTTAAACTCAGACACTTTTAACTTATTCTAGCTAAATACTGCCAGAAAAGACTTCTGTTTCCTTTGATATAGGACTGAAATTAATTTTCTTAATCATTTACATTTGTCACTCTGAAAGCAGTGTCTCCTATTTATTTCTGTGGAAACTGCAATAGATACAAAGAGCACAATAACATTATTTGAAAGAGCAAATTCTGAACTACAAAATGTTATTTTTTAACATTGTCACCACTACTAGCTATGTATTTTCACAAGTGATGAGCAAGAGCCTGCATGCTGCACTTTTAAAATTATCTGCACGGCCATCTGCGATGTGACTTGTCTTTCCTTTTGCCGTAACCGCTGCTGAAACACACCACCTCACCACCCACTGTGGTTACATTCACTGTTTGGTCTCCATAACTGTTCAGCAAGCACCGATGAGTGTGAGTGGATGTAATTTTTTCTGCACGGAGAAGAAACACATTTCCATACCTTTTCTTCATATGCATTTCCATGACAGACACTATTCTGTCAGACTGCTCTTCTGCTGCTGTCTGTCTGGCAGCAACAAATACTGGTGAGAACGTTTGACTTCTACTGCCATACAACCAACATAAAATAGGAGGCATTACTTTTGGAGCAGCCTTCATACGTAGTGACGCTGCACTGAGCAACCTGCTCAAGTTTGTTCTGCTTTGAGGAGCGGATTGTAGTAGAAACTTCAACCATTCTGTAGTTCAATGTTGTGTCAGAGTGGAGAATTGGAAGTCAAAGAGGCGTGAAGAGAATAAGCATATGGAATGGGTAGACAATTCTTTGCTATTCATTGTGGAAGAACTTGAAAAGACTTCTTAGAGCATAGAGAGGAACGTAGATGTGAAATATTGTACAGAACCACTGATAAGCTAAAGCAGCTCTGGACTCAGTTAGATGAAATGCACACTGATAAATTGCTGAAACTGGAATTGATATTCAAAAAAAAGTTGGAAGAAAACTCAAGGTGGTAAGAGGTGAATTACTTATACTGGTCTGCAGAGGTGACAGGAGTTCCCATGTTCTAGTGTGAAAAGGAGAGAGGGATAAACACCCAACTCAGAACACATACTGCCTTCTATTCTATAATAACAATCTTTTTTTTTCTGTCCAATAATATTTGATTTTGTCCTAAACGTTCATGGGCCAGTGAAATTCTGCACCTGCATATCCAAGAAGCCTTGAACTACATTCATTTTCAGAAAATATTAGATAGAGGTGAGAGTTCTGAAGCAGGTGTGAGATCTGTGCTGAGATCCTGCTATACAAGCTCTATTGCTCTGCTTGTCATTTTTCATGCAGAAGGAATAAACCCAAATAAACAAATCTTCCTTACATTAGCTTCAAAAACAAAACACCCACCTCCCTCAAAACAAATATACTGAACAACTCATGTCAGCCTGTTAAACAGGTAATTTGAGTACAGTAATATCTGATGATGAAGTTAAGAGAACAAAAGAGAAATACTTGGGAGAACATTTCCACGTGTGCTGCTTGTGTGCACAAAGTATTTCTGTGCGTCTTTAAATCTAATGTGAGGTTGGATCCTTTAATGATAGTGGAATGTTACTTATGAAGTCTATGAGCTCTACAGATCAATTTGTTTTACTAAGCTTTTGAAAGTTGAGGTGAGAGAACTAAATTAAAGAGTTTAAAGAATGGTTTTACCATGACTGATTCTAATAATGTGGAAGACCTTCTGAGTCCTCGATACGGTTTCCTCATTGTTCGAAAGAAGTCACTTCAAAGTGTCTGCTGCAATGAAATAGTATGAGTGAATAGAGTCTAAATGTGTATTGCTTCCAGAGAAAACATGATTCTTTTGTAGGTGAAGTGAGGATGTCTAGATCTGGAGGATCTTCCCTCCTTCTTCTGCAGTGATAGTTTTACATGTAAGCTATTCGACTCAAGCTCATTTTATTTCATTTCTATAGATATAATTCATCCATTTAGGCTCCATTCTCAGTGGTTTATAACGTAAATAAGACATCAGTAGAGAAGCGTAGGGAGATAGAAAGGAGTAAAAAGAGTAAGTAAAAGCGAAAAGGAAAGAAGAAAGGGAAATGTGTCTTAAACAAACAGAAGGATATAAGCAAGACAAGAAGAAGGGAGGAGGATAGAGGAGAAAAAACTGATAAGGGCAAGAAAGAGCAAGGCAAGCAAGTAAAGTGAACTGATGAGCCTACGTCATTGAGAGGTCTAGGGTCAAAGCAATTAATCAGTCATATCTGCCCAGAGAATCAGCAGCATCAATTGGAGTCAGTCGTAATTTTCTAAGTTAAATCTTGTTCATTATTTCCTGGGCTTTCTCAAGGCTACAGTAAAACCTAGCATGCCTCCTCACAGGTGACAAATGTTACATGAACTAGGAGGTAGTTAGAAGAGAAGTAGTTTTGCTGAACTGCTACAAATAAAAGTAACAAGAGTGTGGAATGGTACCAGCCTCTTCCAATTAATAGAAAGAGCTGCCTTGCTATTCCAGTGGTTCTTGTTAACATGAATAAATAGGTACAGCAATACAGAGGACAGTGCTATTTTTGCCTTAGTTTTTCTATCTCTCTCCTCATTTCAAAGCACAAAAGTTATACAGCTTGAGAAAATTCTGCCACTAGATATCTTCTGAGTAAAACTCATGGAATATACTCTAAAGATACTTAACACAATGATAGGCTGTATAGGATTTATAAAGAGATTTGCAGAGAAACTGACTTTGCTAGAGCTTGGTACCACAAACCTGTTGACTATGCAGGAAAGTAAAAAGAAATGTTGGAAGCCAGTTGCACTGGTAGCATTGATAGGTGAGTCTCTATCTGTAAAATGCAGTGGGAAAAAAAAATGCTTATATCCATCTTTTGTTTACTATAAACTGCTTTTTTTTTTTTTTTTTTTTTTTTTTTTTTTTCTCTCTCTCATAGGCAGAAGATCTGTGCCAAAACTGTATGATGTTAGAGCTCTATCTTAGCTTTTCACAAATATTTAGCAAGTCAAATTGTCTGGGAATTGAAGCCAAATTAAACTTTACCTAACCCTACGCTCATTTAGAGTCCTGGAAGATGTCCTAGAAAAGAGCATGCTGAGATGCTTCATGGCCATATAGCAAATGTGTTGCTCTTGATAGTAAAATTGCGACTGCAAGCAGTTCCAAGTGAAGGTTTTACATGAGTTATGTGAAATGCAGCTGTGCAGCATTTCTAAAAAGCACTATTAGCAGAGAGGCTATTTAATGAAGGCTGACCCCCCAAAGGTCTCACAGACCAATGTGTTTAACTAGGCAGAAACTAATTCAAAGGAAGGAACTGCAAAAGCAGGATAAACAACAGATCTGCAAATTCACTGCTCGTGTGTCCAATTAATTGCACTAATTAGCATTTTAAGAGCTTACAATTTTTATTTTAATACAGAATAAGAGGGTTGCAGATTGAGAATATTCGATCTTATCTTCTTTTGCTGGAGGATTGACCATAGAATCAGAATTAAAACTCTTGTTTTTTTTGTATTTTTTGTTTTTGTCAGAGGTGTTTCATCCATTCTGTACTTCCATAGAAAAAAACAATTACATTTAAGAACACGTGCATGCTGCTGACATTGTTTTACTATAAAAGTTAATATAATTTTTGAATGTTAGGCATTAACTAAAGTTAACATAATTAGTTACTCTTTGATCTTCATTTCTTGTTGTTTTTTGTTGTTTGTTTGTTTTGTTTAATTCTATCTTTCTCTGTGATATCAATGCAGGATTTATTCAGGCTGGAATGGAATCTTAGTGTCAGTGGAATGATGAAAATTTACTCCACAGAAAGCTATGGCTCATGTTATCTGGTGTGCGAATTCTGCATTGTTAAGTGCAACTGGTACTTTTTTGTCCTGTGACATGAATTCTATGCAATAGAAAACCAAGAGAGCGTGTTTGGAAAAAGACTAATCCATGTCTGTGATAATTAGAGGTGGACCAATGCTGCAGCAGATCACTGGTGAACATTCACAGAAACTGGTTATTATTTTCAGGAATGTAGGTAGAAAGTGAAAATTCTAATGAATTCTTACATAAATATGTGGCAATGCAGAAATTTAAGTCCAAGGGACCGTATACAGGCGTATTCTAAAATAACATGAAGAGTTGGAGGTAAACTGACTTTTTAAACAGAAGAGTAGTAAGGATGTCACTGCAGTCAACATTTCAGGACTATGGAACGTGTGCTATGTTATTTGTTTCAATCCAAATACCAGGTGTTGTATTGTAATGTTGGAGTGAATGATTAAGAGAGTATAACTTAGTGTTCAGTGAAGGGAAAATTTGGTTTTGTTAGATCTATAACTTGATCTGAAACTGAGGCTAGAGCAATTTCTGTAAATGAATTAAGAACAAATAAACATTATTATTATTATTATTATATTGATAATGGTGCAGTAGTGCTGGGCATGGTCTGGGTCTGCCTCATAGGTATGTTTGCATTTTTTTTTTGCATTCAGACTTACAGACATATATCCACAAAATGCAGTCTGCCTTCATACCTGTCATACCACCGGCATATCCCAGACACTAGCCATCTGACTGAAGTCGTTTTTCGTAGTGGAACTGTGTACTGAGTTCTCAGCCGAGGCAGTCAGTCTATTTCTAAGGATTACAGAATGTAATGTGAGGGTATTATTCAAGAAGAAAATTAAGATGGATCTTAACAGGAGAGAAGGCAGATGAAAAGGAGAGCAAAGGTTGCAAGAAGAGGTCTGCATAAACGAGAAATTTGTCATGTGCTGTATCTTATCAAATGTTTCCTGTCTCAAACACACAGAAGTAATGAATGAAAATGAAAAAAAAATACTTCAGGAGAGAATTCTACTTTTCCAGAGGTAAAAAAGGAAAAGGAAAATACAGTTACAGAATGCAGAACAAACTTCTTCCAGTCTTTTCTACAAAAGGCATGCATTTACCCTTTTTTAATCTATCCCTGTGAAACCACAACACACGGTTGGAAACACAGCATAGGTCCCAGAATTGGGGGAGAGGCAAAGTGGAGAAGCAGCTGAACTGAACCATCACCAGTACTCCTGGATTACTTCACGCTCATTTGAATTCCTACGATACTTAATCTTGCACGGGTTGAATCCAGAGTGTTTCCAAGAACTGAGTTAATTAGTGAAATATCCCCAAATTAACTAACTCCCCTGCCAAGAAATGGGCTCTTCCATTTTCCTCACATGATTTTCTAGGCACTTTCACTTTTCCATATATAGGAGCAGCCCAGAGACTGACAGATCAGGCTAGGTAGGGATACAGACTTCAGGCACATGCGTACTCCTTGCATGCATACACAGATACAAGCCCATGCTGATTTAACAGACTAAAATTCGAGTTAGTATTACAGGTAGTGAGTGAACACAGTGGCAGTCCTGCTCAGAAAGAACCTTCGCTTTTAACAGAAGGCACTAAAGGCAGAAATCCTCAACCACTTTTTAAAATAATCCATCAGGAAAAGCATCACAGCCATGAATGGGCCAGTGGATGGTTTATGCGATCACACGCTGGATGATGAAGGAGCTTTCATGTTCACATCAGAATCAGTAGGAGAAGGACATCCAGGTAAGAAGCCGCTATGGCAAATGCATTCAAGAAAAAATACTTTCATTGAAATAGAAGTCCGAAGAAGAATTAATCTGCTATTAGTGTTATTATAGAAAGTCTGTTTAACAGGGTGCTTTTTACATTTCCATTGGACCTTTCCATGTAGACTATAGAACCGCTGCAACTAGAGTTCTTCTAACAGGAGTTTTTGTGCCTTTGCTGGGTGTGTTACCCTGCGGAGGGCAGTGGGGTTCCTTGTTGCTACTCCTTCCTTTTCATCTTGTTTGCTTTTTTATTCTGTGTTACTGTGGAGACATTACTGTACCTCTGATAGGCTCAAGTTTCACATATGGATAAGAGTACATAGCTTGCCTCTCAAATTCCATATCCTTATGGGCACTGTGAAACTGTCTTGCATGTAGGCTGTGCTCTAAAACTGTCACCCATAAGCAGTCTATTTGAAAGACTTGAAAAATTGGTGGTCCCTGCATCTGCACATGTCCAAGTTGCTGACATGTTTTCTCCCATTTCAATATCTGGGTATTAATGCAATATATGGAATTGCTTAAGCAAATAGTGGGCAGATATTTGCTAAAATGTATATATGGTCACCAGAGATAAGTTCAATTTTATTGGAAACAAATGGTCATCTGCCCAAAACACCTACTTTATGTCAAACGAGTCCAAGGGACAACAGACTGTTTGATGTCCTGAAAAACATGTTTGTTTTAGAAGGCGGTGTGGTATCACGTACTTTTTGCTATAGCAAGGTGTTTTTTTTTCTTGTGATTACATCGTAAATGGGTGGGATAACATAGAGAACATAAAGGTCAGCAGTGAGAATATAACGTCTGTAATTCTGATACTCCTCTATAACATTAACTTATTAGTGCAGGTCAAGTCTGTGGCTGATGCAATTGAGTCCATTGCTGTCAATTTCAGGTTAAGCAAGTTGGAGTTCTTTCTGATGTAACACCATCAGAAAATGACAACCATATTCAGTCCTTCGTCCATAAGTCCATCTCAAATTTGTGTATAATTACATCCAGCAACCACAGAACAACATAGTTGCATATGAAAAATAGCATGCTGTAGGGTGATCTTAAATTGACAGTGATTTTTCTGACGATGACAAGTCATAACTGATGCTATTCTGATCATTTTTTAATCTCTTTGAGGTTGTAAAAGGTAAGTCTTCAAATAGGAAGATAAATAGTTCAGCTCAGCCCCAGGTTTTTATTTGTCCATTAGCTTCTTTTCTTTATCAGGTCCCTTTTTGTCTTGGTTCCTGTGTTAGAATATGACCCAGGTTTCAGTAACTTAGATTTTCAGGAGAGTTTTATTTCCACAAACTCTCCTGGGTCTTCTTTTAAGTCCTGTGAATGTAGTCCATCTCTGAAATACCTGCCAGGCCTTTGACAAAATGTTACCACCAGTGAGATTTGTGACCATCGTCTCATCTGCCAGAGACTGCTGGATCACTGGGTACTCTGAGATGCACACACCCAAAGAGCTTTATTGCAGAGCAGAGAGTATAAAGTTGACATTTACTCTAACTTTTTCGGTGGTGTATTTTCCTAAAAAATATACACTTTGATATACACCTATGGGAAAAGAAATATCCAGATTTTCCAGATCAAGTATAGCAGGATAACAGTAAATAACTCTGGCTGTTCCTGATCACGGTCCAGCAGTAGGTCTTATTGGTCTCAGCAACAGGTCTAGTTTGTAGTAGCAAACTGACTTTTACAACCTGACCAAAGGACGTTTTCCCTGTCTGTGGTTTTACACTAGACGTAAGGATATACCATTAGCTTTTTGTCTCCCAGGAAAATCTTGATTGTTTCTTAAAACTGGTGCCAGTGCTCGAGGCAGCAGTTGGGCTTTTGATTTTGCTATCAGTAGTGCTAGAAGTTTATTAGGAGTTTTGAGTACCTCTGTTTGCTATCAATGGATAATTTGAATGTTCCTGATTACTTCCTTTCTGCATGTGGTAGCATAATTTTGCTCAAAGGTATAATGTGAAGATCCTGAACTAGATCCTTTTCTGGTAGAAATCTGAGTTGTTCTATTATAACAGTTGAGTTGAATGCTCTCACATATACCTTCATGATAAACAAAGCAGAAGAAATTGCATGCTTACTTATTTGTGTACAAAGACAACAGCCTTGTATCTGTACAATGCTTTTGAGCTGCGTGTACTTAAGAAGCCCGAGTTCTGCAGAATAGCTGAAAAAAAGTAAATAGCTGGCAGTGA